GAAGAAACTAGTATGAGTCAGCACAGGACACAGAACTAAAAGTCAGGATTCTCACCATGACATGTTTGTTAAAAGATCCTGACTGATATTCATGACAAAGGTTTCAGTCCCTATGAAATCACTGGATGAGAATTATATGCAGCAGTGAAGAAGATGAGCTTTTGCACCTTGAAGGAAGCCTATGAAATGCATCTCAAATACAAGTCCATGACGTAGGCATAGAGAAAGCATAATGGAAACAACCAATACAGAAAAAGGAACACCAAAAGGACTACTGAGAGTCTGCATAAAGGAATCAGGCAACTGGTGCAGGCAGGATGCTAATGGCCATCATATCTAAATGAGAAAGAAAGAAGACTGCAGGAGAAAACTAGGTTTCGTGGGAGTACTGTGATTGTGAAGAATGGCTACCATTGGGGGAAACCTGTGTAAGAAGACTATTTCAGCAAGAGTTACACTTCGTAAGAGTACTCATAGCACAGACTGAATTTCTGCTGCAATGCACCAGTGTGTTCTTTGGCGGAAACAAGAATATGTACCATAGCTTTTTTGCCTAGTCAAGCCCACTTTTACCTGCCTACTGAAGCAGCCATTATGCTGCCCTTCCGCATGGACTACATGATCTGGCATTTTGCCCTGGCTAGTTTAATAGAGCCTGTCAGTAACAGATATCTATTCAATAGGTACTTAACTCAATCATAATGCAAGATAATTATATTCTATGCAATGCAACTCACATTTATCTGCATTCTTCAGTGATGTTATCAGAGACATGCTAATGCATGTTACGCATACTACACTACACTGTAAAACAGTAACAGCTACAAGAGACTTGAAAGCATTAGAAAAAATGAATGGTTTTAATTCTGGTGTCACTATACATTTACATCATTTAGACTATAGCAAAACAAGAGAGACAAGACTAAATTCACACCTCCTTCAAGCAGAGGTAGTAGTTGTACAGACTTCAGTGACACTGCACCTGTTTCATATGCCTGGGAAATTTGTTCTCAGTTCCTACAAAATGTTTTTCCTGGTTTTATCTTACATCTAGGCCCTGCACAGTCTCAAATGCTGACAGTTTCTCTCCCAGATTAGTCTCCTTAAATTTTAGTTACAGGAAAATACTTCCTACTGTTGTAAGACAAACAGAATTATTTGTCAAAAATAGTTAAAATTTCTTTCTCAGACTTGTTCATTGATGGTAGATTTGATTTTAGCAACTTGTGTGACTTCTTCCATATCACTGGCCCAACGGAACGTTACAACCTAGAGATCATCAGTCTTAATTTTTTCTTTTCATTACATGTAATCTTTAAAGACTTTACTGGCCTTACTGTAGTTTCTCACCTGGAGAAAAGGTATGACTTATTCTCTGGTCTTTTCTTACATGTACTTTATTGAAAGAATAAATTCAGTAGGTACCACACCTTCAGCTGAAGCTGATAAAGTAATCTCAGCAATACTGACAATACTTGATTGGTCAAGTTCAAACTGCTGGCAACTTGAAACAAAATCTCAATTTTCTAAGTAAGTTCACCACAAAATACAACAGCACCACAAATGTATTTTAAAATCTTATCACACTTCTAAGAAATAAGAGAATATAAAACCATATTAAATATTTAATTAAATAGTGAAGTTATTTAAGCTGCAAATCAAGTACTGAACATTAGACATTACCAGATATATAGTTGCCCTGAGACTTCAATTCTCTGACCTGTGTGTTTTGGATCACTAAGTAAATCAACTTGTCCTTGCAAAGAATTTATGTGATTACTTTGCTGTCTGGTTTTTATACATAAGCAAAGAAGCTGAACTGTTCATAGACAAATCCCCCTCAAAGCTGATTATTTCATTATATAAATCATGCCTCCAAGTTATGTTACAGTAAATCCTACATCTTTAAAAAGAAAATTATTAATACCAATTCCGCTGTAGAAAATCCAACACTGTAAATGTCCTATTACATTTTCCCATCCCTTCTCCATTTCGGCTTAAGAAGAGCATGCTGACTCATTAGCACTGCAGCACCATTTCTGCACTTGAAATATGAAAAATAGTATCACTTGCCAGCAGCAGAAAAATATTTTCCTGAAGTGGGAAATAGGCTACTGGCACCATGACTCAAGGCATTGTTCTACACTGTATTATGCAACTTTTCTTGCATTTCTCCTATACAAAAAAATACAGAACCCTTAGTCTTAAGAGTGAAGGATAAAAATGAAGATATCTATTTCAGTGAAGGCTTCTGGGAAGCTCAGCCCAGTTACTGCCATTACCTAAAGCAACTGTTCTGGCAGTTACCACTACTCTTTCACACTACTTTGTATGGGCATGTCAGGTTTTGTGCATCAGATCTTCAGTAGAATAGTGCTCACTTATTATTTACCAATGATAACCTTTTTCCTAAATTATTCAAGAACATTTCCTGTGTAACAGCAAGGTTATTTTGAATCAAATCTCAATAAAGAATGGAGTTGCTTAAGTTTTAAGCTGCCACCTGTCAAAGTTATTCTGTTAACAAGAATTCAGAGATCTTTAAAGTCACATGGAAAAGCTGCTACTGGCATTTCCATTTTCTACAATCCATTGCCATGACAATCTATAAACTACATGAGCAAAAATGTTCTTTCAAAAATCAACAGATACTTTCTCTTTTGAGCATTATTCCTTGATATGAGTGAAACAGCGCAATGGAAAGTAGCAGGGAACACAGGTGAATGTGTCCTTGATGTGAATGCTTCGGGTTGCATACATGAGAATTTCAGAAAGAAAAAAACAACAAAAAAAAATCTGCCTTCCACAAAAGATTCCTACCACTAATACTTCTCAAGTGATGTAATTCCACACCACACGAGCAGCAGCTACTCCAATATATCTTAACAATGCAATTTATGCCAAAAGGCATAGCTGTTATTAGTAGACTCTGTTTCTGAATAACCTGTAGGGCTTTTTTCTTTTCTGAGAACTTTGGCATTTTAAAAGTCATGTGTGTACAGGCTTTTGCAATATACGGCAAAGAGAGTTGTTCAATCTATATGGTTCTCATCTGCACCATTACTTTTTTGCTTGCTTGCCTGTAAGAAAAAAGAAAACTGTAAGAATGACAAGATACTAAAGGTCAAAAGGAATCGGCTTATGCTGCAAAACTCATTTCAAGATGTCTTAGCAATTTCACTTACTCAGTTTCACTGCTGGTGGTACATCTGAACAGCTATGAAATGGTTTGGATTTTCATGCACAGATCAACATCAATGAATTTTTTTGTGCTTGAAGTGCAGAGCTGAGCTCAAAGGAAGTGTCTGATATGCACTGAACACAGGCTGTAATGCTACTGTTATCTTAACATGGTCTATGTGTAAACCACGAGATCTTGTAGATTAAGACAAAATTAGGCAATCTTTCCTAGGTATTTTTTAAAGTTTGCTTTTTAATGAGCTGATGATAACAGGAAACATGCTACTAAACAGAAGGGAAAAAAGTATGTTGCCATGATTTTTTAATCAAATGGAGTAAGCTGTCTGCATGATACAACCAGTGCACATGTATGTGACATCCGATTCATTTATACTTTTCCTTGGAGGGGGAAAACGAGATTTGGATCCCTGTCCTATAGCATGTCACACTGACACACTGATGGTGACATGCTACTTAAAAATTATTAGGCTTCTCTTAGAAATCAATACTACAGCAATGAGCTTTTTATGTAGCAATACCATACAGAAAATAAAATGGCTGATGAGGACGAAGTCTTGACTACATCTTTTACAAATAAAACGAAGTGCAATTCACTTAAACAAAAGTATTCCAGTGGCAACCTCTCATGTGGCAGATCAGTGTGACTATATAGACGTATTTCAATCATCTCATTTACTTCACAACAAAAGCAGAGCCTTCCAAAGAAATTCTAGTTCACTTTAATACTAGCAAAATCTGTGCAATACCTGCCAATATGGGCATGGCAAATAAGAACAATTAGTAAGAAAACTGAAAGAGGATAAGAATCACTGGGAGAAAACTGTAGGTGACAATCAACCCTGCGGATAAGCTGTAGTACACAGAGCTCTGCAAACATTTAAATCCTGACCAGGAAAATCCAAGACGCACAAAGGTTCAGAGCAGGTCCTCATTACCATACCCACCCAAACATGGCTGACACCAGGGTGCACCAACTAACAGCCCAAGGGGGCTGCTGAGTGATGCAGTGGCGGAGGGAAAGGAGGGGACGGGAAGGGAAGTGACGGCGGCGAGAGGGGAGACACCGGCAGTCCCCGCCGGGCGGCTCCCAGTCCCCGGAGCAACAAGGTAGCGCCGAGCGGCCGCAGGTCTCCCTCGCCCACCTTCTGCTCCTCCGCCCAACCCTCGGACACGGTTACCGCAGCCCTCGCCCAGCTGCGGCTCCCTCCTCCCTGGCACACGGAGCCCGCGGACCCCTCCCGGGATGACTGGCGGTACTCCCGCTCCCTCATCTGGAGGAGCGCCCTGCCGAGCCCTGCTCCCAGCAAGCCCCGAGCCCTCCGCGCTAGGAGGAGCATGAAAGCGGCGCTACCCCGAAACACGAGTTTCCCGTACATCCAAGGTGCCTCACCCAACACGCGGGAGATGAATGAATCTTTTGTCACTCGCGGTACCAACAGGATGCAAGTTCCCTACCTCCCCTCAGTAATTCTAATTATTATAAAAACAGCCCCGTACATCCTTTTAACCTACCGCCGAGTTAAAACACATGGGCAGCTACCACGGGGCACTCGCTATTGTCTAACACGGGCCGCTCTCTCCTTGCCGGGGCGAAGGCAGCCTCCCGTGGGGGAGCTGGGAAAGCCACCCCTCAGGAAAGCAGCGGACACCGGACAGAAAGGGACCCCACGCGCCCGGCCCATACTGCCCCTTCCCGCCCGGTGACACACGGGAGGCGGAGGGCCGGCGGTGCTGTTCCCGCAGCACAACCGTGCTGGGGAAGCGCGGGTCGCGGCGGCCACCAGCCTCTCCTCGCTTACCTCCGCCCGCGGGGGTCGCCGGGCGCCAGCTGTGGGAACGAAGGAAAGAAGAGGGGGCCTGGGTACCCCCCGGGGCGCGGAGCGGCGAGGGGGGCCGTGAGGGTACAGGGCTCAGAGACGGGCAGGCGGCAGCAGGGACATGTGTCCAACCCTCGCTGCGACGGCGTTTAAAGACAGACATAAAAGCGGCGGCGGCGGGGGGGGGGGGGGGAGAGAGGAAAGGGGAGGGCAGCGCTGGGCTCGGGGAGCCGCACCTCCTGACGCAGGGAGGAGCGCTCCCTCCCCCCGGCTGCAGCAGTGGCAGCATCGCCTGCGGGCGGGGAAGACGCAGAGGCGGCAGCGATAGAAGGAGGGTGATGGCACGGCCGTCGCCGCGCCAAAAGCCCGGCGGCCGCGCTACGACGCTGCGGGTGCCCCCTACCCAGCCACCTCCTTCCCTCCCTCCTTTCCTCTTTCCCTCCCCTCCCGCCGCCGGGACGCGTGGCAGTCACCGTGTCCCCGGGCTCCGTGTGCAGCGCACGTGGGCTGTGCGCGGCCGGCGGCGTGGTGGGGGCCATCATGGAGAGTGAAGGGGTGGAGAGAAACTGAGAGGAGGATGGAGAGCACCGACCAATACCCGTGGTGATGGGGCACAAGTCTTGTGAGCCATACCTTAGCTGCTGCTGCAACCTCATGTAGATGCTGTTTCGCGTAAACGGCTCCCCTAAACTTCCTGTCATGAAGTCTGTCCCGTGCCCTTCTACCGGCTTTTTTCTTTTACTGGCATTTTTCTATAACTGAAAAAGGCAGATGGATCCTGGCTAGAGAGAACGGCTTGTAGAAGAGGAAATCAGCTGTTCAAAGGGGCGTCAGGCAGGCAGGAAAGGCATGTTAGCTTTGATGGAAGTAGGAGCGATGGAACTGAGTGAACGGTTTTAATGATCATACTGTGAATAATTATCGCAACAGCTTAAATCACAACACATGTCAAATAAAAATACATAACTTTCTTACACCACGTGAATCATGGAGCAATTCTTCTTCAGAGTTACGAAGTTAATCTGCCTACATTTCTTTCATATTTCACTGAGAAAGCTGTGATGCAAACTTATTTTTGTATTTCTACTACATTATCGAAAGCATTTTAACATAGTATGGTGAATTTCTCATCAATAGTAGACTTAAATGATAATTTCCACAATGTATTTCAGTTATATGTAAAAATGGTCCTGTAAATGACAGATTTTGCACATAGTGACTGAATATGATTTGGAACTCAGTTAAAATGAGCTTATCTTGTGTAAGTTTCCAATTGTGAACTAAACTTCTTTTCTAGTAAGTACTAATGAGAGGAAAAATTTATGCTTTCTATTGGCAGATTATGAGTGATACTTTTATTTAGTAAATTAACTACTAATGTTATCACATGACTGCATAGTTAATTGACACAGCAAAACGTCATTCCTGGATCTCTCCGAATTCTGTATGCAGTTATTGATGAGCATATATCTGTAATTGTGTTCTCGATTATTTGCTGCCTCTAATTTTAACAAAGGAAAGGTATCATGCAACTTTTAATGTCCATCAAACATATCATCAGTCACTTAGAGCTTTTTGCAGTTCCTTGAGGAATTTGCAGTTCCTCAAGTACAATGTAAAATACCACATTGATAAGCATCCAGTAGCAATCTTCCCTTCAGACTTTCTGCAAACCAGTGATCTACATTCAGAATAGATTGACTAGGGTATTTTTACTGCAGCTCTTGTGTCTTTTACTCCAGTGCTTTCAGTTCCTTTCTAATCTTTTCTAATTAGGTTTATTGGTACTTGAAATAACCATCTTTAAATTCCACATTGGTTTAATCTTCAAAGTGCAGACATTTCAGCTTCAAAACTGTTAAAGCAATTCCACTTCCAAAGAGAAGGATTTCCACTTTTGTTTCTGGGTACAAATGACAAAAATGTGATGGAAAAAGTAACTTTTGCCTTAAAAAAAAAAAAAAGAAGAAATCACTGGTGGACACAAGGGTTGTGATTTAGCTATTACAAGATTGAGCTATCATTCTCTAACATCGAGTTATGGGCCTATACACATGCACACTGAAAACTGATTTGCTGATCAGACTCTCAGTGTGTCTGTGCTTGTGACCCAGAAGGTTTGAGGACAGAGAGAAACAATCTAAGTGGAAAGCAGGAAATGCCAGAATGACAACGAACATCCTAAAGCAAAGCTGAGATGCTGAGGTACAAAACCTCTACCTTGTCAAAACTTTAGATTAAAAAATGCACAAACAGAGAAGTTATGCCAGTTTTACTTTTCTGCTAGGTTTTACTGTCTTGTCGCTTGCATAGAGATTTTAAATAGAATACATTATTTCATAGTTTTGCTGGAAGTGAACATATATAAAATAAGCCACTTAATAAAAATACTTTTATACCTATTTTAACTATTGAATAACTGCAACCTTAATAATGTATTGAGTTCCTTAAAAGCATCTTCTGACCTGAACTGTTTGTATTCCCTAGATTGATGGTGTGCCATTCAGTAATAGATGAAAGTTAGGAGTAGCATTCTTGTAATTATAATGAAGTGGAGAAGCACATACCAACACAGGAGTAAATATGAGTCAGTATACACCAGTTAATTAGAATGGAAACAATCATAAAGAATTTTCACTTTTACTGATTAAAAATCATACCTCAGGTTCATAGTTCAGGGCTTGAACTTCCAGGACAGAAACCTTTGGTGTTTTGGACTTCTCCATCAAATCTGTTGCATAGTGCTTCAATAAAAAATTACAGTTTCTTGTTAAATAGGCCTTTTGTATTAAAGTTTTGTTAATATTCTCAGTGTATGTAAATGGCACTTTTTCACATGCCAGTTAAATGTGGAATTAGATAGTATTGCATCTTGCACCTTTTGAATCTGTCACTACTGTTTATTTTCTCTCTTTGTCTCTGTATGAGCTCAGCACTTAATTTTAGTTTAAGGTATTGTGATTCAGAATATTGTGGATGGTAAGCTGAGTTACATCCGTAACAATCGACTGTGCTATTTAACTACTCTGCTACAGCTGTACCACTATGACCTAAGTCTCTGGAAGACTGCTTTGCACCAATTCTTTATTTCTACAGATTTTAAATACAGTTTGAGGCACAGTAATCATGCAGATGCTACAGACAAAAACCCTCAGTAAGTAAGGTATGTAGTCAGTAGCAAGTCCAAACTCTCAACTAGCTTTGGAACTCCAGTTCTGGACAGTTGAATAGCTTTTCAGCTTATTAAAATAAGTCCAAATAATTGTAATCACATTTCTCAGTGCATTAGTGGGATCTGCTGCATAGAAGAGAGAGAACAATCTTGGATGTTTATATCTAACTTAATTTATCCTTCAAAATGAGAAAATTTCAGGCAGGACAACAGGTCAGTCTGACCCTACAGTGCTTCTCACTGTAGAACAACCTGATGGCACAAGCAGACTTCCTTGGACAAGCAAGTGTAATGGTTGTATTCCCAAGTGTTCTTACCAAATCTACAAAAAATATTGTAGACTTCAGTGTTGTTCTTTGATGAGTGATGAGCTACTTGGATCAGATGAGAAGCCACTGTGATTCAAGAAATATCAGGCAATGATTATATAGCAAGTGATCTGCTGGCATATTGTCTAGTACTGTGAGAACCTGTAAACCGCATTAGCTGCTCATACATTTTACAGTAATGATGAAGTCCTTGAAGTCTGGCTATGCTTCTTCAGTTTTTCACATTTTCATCTCTAAATATTTTCTAAGATATTAATAGATGTAAGAGATTTGCTACTTTTTGCTGGCTTTATCAAAAGATACGTCTTTTTCCATGTCAAAAATGTGGGTCATCTGTTACTCTGTGTATAACTTCATTGTTATATGTAAAGTAAAGGAGTCTGTTGAGAAGACGACTAAAACATTTCTACAACTGCACACAGAAATGACTAACAGCTAGGCAAGATAAGATGAAAAATCAGTTGAAAAATCACATGAGTATACCAGTGGCACATGGCAAGGGGTATCTAAGATATCTCATATTCCTCCTTTCTCTGTTTTTTAATGGAAGTTGCATGAAGATTTCAGTGCATAGGATTTCTGTAACTTTGCAAAAGCATTGCAGGAAAAAGTGGTTGTAGCAGTTGTCTGTTGCTTATAATAAAAGTATGTTAATGATCTCTCAGCCATGGTCTTGTGTGGCCTTGCTGCATGAATACAACAGGGTAAGACAGTGGCTGATGCGATTCCTCCCGTCGTTGCTGTGTTTATCATGCTGAGAGAGGAATGTCCAAAAAGTTAAATCTTGCCTTCAGGCTTTATCTCCTAAATATACACATTATGTATATGTATATGTTTATTTATATTTATGTTTAGGCAACTCTGGCAGCTGATTTAGCAAGTCAGTATACCTCAGTCTAGTAGAGAAGAACATGAGAAATTAAATTCTGGTCGTGGTGAGCTATTGTAGAAATCTGGCCAGAATAAATGTGCCCTTCTCTCACCTATTGAACAAAAAAACCTATTACAGATTTTTCCAAATGTGAAACAATGAATGATAAAATGGATAATTGGAAGAATACGCAAATCACAGATGCTCGGAGAACCACATATTTCATTACAGGTAAAACATACATTAAATTAGCATCCAAACCAAAGAGAACAATCATAAATAGTCATTTTTTAGCAGTTAATCTCTAATAAAGATTGTTATGCTACTTGTGAAAATGTGGAAAATGAAGATGTAATTCTGATAATGGAGCTATTTTCTGTATCTTTGACAATTTAGAAATCACCAAAATTAGGTTGATGACAGCAATGTAAAAAGCTAGCAGCCACCCAGCTACATCTTTTCTTGAATATAAAACAACAGATACAATAACTACAAAAATTTATGTGTATACAAATCAAATTTCAAGACAACAAACATTTAAAAATAATATTTTGTAGTGGATTGAGAATGAGGCTAAGGATAAAGGAGCTAAGACACACACACACCCCCCCCCCCCAGCAAATGCACAGCAAGTAAAAAAATAAATTGGCTATGCAAATATTAGCCACAACTACAAAACACTGAAAGGGATCCTGGATAAAGCCAAACTGTGAACTCTTTAACATATTATACATTGTAATCTTAACTACAGTTTTCAAGAAGCTGTCATGCCTATTTTTTTCCATATTTTCCAAAAAGCTTCATGGTC